AAGAGTTGCCTGCATGGGAAACCAGCAAGCTCAAGAGCCCTCTTCCCCTCCAGCGGCTTCCTGAAAATGTGGTGCTTTGTTGTTGTTTAGTTGTGTCCGACTCTTCGTGACCCCATGGACCAGAGCACGCCAGGCACTCCTGTCTTCCACTGCCTCCCGCAGTTTGGTCAAACTCATGCTGGTAGCTTCAAGAACACCATCCAACCATCTCATCCTCTTTCGTCCCCTTCTCCTTATGCCCTCAATCTTTCCCAACTCCAGGGTCTTTTCCAAGGAGTCTTCTCTTCTCATGAGGTGGCGAAAGCATTGGAGTCTCCATTCCACATTTGCAAGAACTCTGATCGCTTAGTGTGGTGACCCCTGCCCTTTGGAACTCCCTGCCTACTGAGATCCAGAAAGCGCCTTCACCACACTGCTTTTGGTGCCTGCTAAAAGCATTCCTGTTTAGGCAATGCTACCCAGATGCTTAGGGACGTGGGTGGCGCTGTGGGTTAAACAACAGAGCCTAGGACTTGCCGATCAGAAGGTCGGTGATTCGAATCCCCGTGACGGGGTGAGCTCCCGTTGCTTGGTCCCAGCTCCTGCCAACCTAGCAGTTCGAAAGCACGTCAAAGGGCAAGTAGATAAACAGGTACCGCTCCGGCGGGAAGGTAAATGGCGTTTCCGTGCGCTGCTCTGGTTCGCCAGAAGCGGCTTAGTCATGCTGGCCACATGACCCGGAAGCTGTACACCGGCTCCCTCAGCCAATAAAGCGAGATGAGCGCCGCAACCCCAGAGTCGGCCACAACTGGACCTAATGGTCAGGGGTCCCTTTACCTTTACCCAGATCCTTAGGAAGGCATCAAGTCATAGACTTTTAAGAGCTGGAAGGCACCCCAAAGGTAATCTTGCCCAAACCCCTGCAATGCAGGAATCTCAATTAAAGCACCCATGCAACCTCTGCTTAAAAACCTCCAAGGAGAGTCCACAATTTCCCGAGACCATGCCACTGTCAAACAGCTCTTAATGTCAGAAAGTAAGTCGACGAGGTCATTTTAATGTGTGTTAGCAAGTTAACTTTGGCATGTTTTAAAGTACGGTTGTAGATTTTTGGTTTCTTTGTAATTTGCTTTAAGGGTGACTGTGTGTTTACGATGACGCGGTGTATAAATTCTATGATATTAAGTATGTAATGAATAGTGCTTTACAGGATTAAAGAAAAAGAAAAATGGCTTTAAAAAGTATAAAGATAGAAGTAATCTACATTAGACACAATTTAAAGAGAGTAATTTTTTGAGGTCTTAGAAGTCAATATGTGTATATGTATGTAATGACTAGATTAGACTGAGGATATGGTTTTATTTGTAGATGTGTGCTTTTTGTTTTCTTTTTTGTGTGTTCTGTTTCTCTTTCTTGTTTGTACAGTATTATTTTGGATTCAATGTTTGTAATTTTTGTTGTAACTCTGCACTGAAAATAAAAACATAATAATAAAAAAGAAATTAAGTAACTGCGTCTTTTGGCCCAACCGTTGAGCTCTCCCTTCCCTTTCTCCGCTCCGCCCTTCAGAGCTCCACAAACTTCGCTAGCGCTGAGGGAAACGCGCTCTGCACCAGCCGAGCGGCCCCTTTTATAGCCTCTCCTCAGCTCAAAACTTTTCGACGGTTGGGCTCGCGAAGGGAGAGAAGGCGAAGACGGCGAGGCGGAGGCGAGAGGGGATTGGCTGAGAGAAGAGGACGGCTCGCGCCAGCCTTCAGCCGCCAGCGCGCATGCGCTACGTGCTGCTTTTTTTTTTAACCTCCAAACATAAATCGAAGCGCTGCTGCGGCACGTGATCCGTCGGTGTCACGTGACCAGCTCAAAGGTGGAGACGCTTCTTCCTGATCGAAAGGTTGAGTTTGGAATTTTTTGGGAAGGGGGGTATGCCGTACGTAAGGCAGGAGGAGCAGTATTAATAATAGCAGCAGCTGCATATATATATATAGAGCTCTCTCTATATATATGAACTATATATATATATATATATATATATAGAGAGAGAGAGAGAGAGAGAGAGAGAGAAGCTGCAGTTTTGTGTGCATTTACTTCAGGATAAAGCTCCCTTGGAGCTAGTGGCGCTTACTTCCGAGTAGGCATCCGTTGGGTCAGGGAGGGGAGGGCAGGGGAGAAGAGGATGGGAGGTGTTGCGGCTGGTTCTGCAAGGGGGTCACACCTTTGCTTGAGCTGGGGTGGCAATGCATGCATTTTAAAGACTCCTGCATTTTATGGGGCTGAACTAGACGAAACTTGGGTTCCTTTTCAACTGCACAGTTCTCTGATTCTATGAAGTGGGGCGGGGGGTGTTGACGTTTCCTATCTGCATTTAGCACCTGAAGTACACACTGAGCAGCCACACAGGTAGCCTGGCCACAGTCTTTCTCGCTATCATCAACATCATCATTATTATTATTTTGTCAGTTGCTTTATCGTGCCCAAGGCAACCCAGAGCAACTTAAAACTATTTAAGTGAGATGTATGGTATCTCACCGCTGCGGTGAGATGCATTTCCATTTAAGTTACAGTAGGCTTTTATAAGCAAACAGTTTAATAGATATAAATTAGCAAATGCTACACAAATCTTGTTTGTGGTGGTGTGTTAAAAGTAACAACCCTGGGGTAACCCGTGTGAGAGGATTGGGTAATGGTATGCTATCGGGCTGCTGGCATTGTGAGTGTGGAGGAAGTTTCTGGGCGAACTTCCAGGAGCCACATTTCCACGGTGGGCAGAGTGAAAGTGAGAGGCATAAACAGAGTTTGAGGACACCTTCCAGCTGGACAAAAGGAAGATGCGAAGCTATGGTGTGAGAGGCTTGGAGGGGCACATTTGCCTCCCAGGTCTGAGGTTTCTCACCTCTGTCTCCAGCAGTGATTAGATAGCTGTCCCTGAAAAGATGACAAAGAGGGGATATGGAGGGAGCCACCCCTCTTATGTTCTCTCATCTGACAGTACATAGATGGAACTAGCTCTGGACATGGAGGATTTGTGGAGCAGTTCCCTCATTTTTTGTATAGCCGCCCCCCGCTCCATCAACCTCCCACATCAACAGCACTGTCTGTACATCCTATTCTTAATTACTGCTCCATAATGGGATATAATCAATTGGGGTTATCCTGGTAGGTTTATCTCCGTCACAAATTCTAAAAATTGCTTTTGTTTCTTTAGGTAATGCAAAAATGACCACGCGGAGGTACAAAACTGTTGTTCAGGGAGAAGCCTCAGAGACTGATTCAGAGGAAGAGGTTTATCTGTCCTCTGTACCCCAGGCTTCATGTCCCAACCTTTCTGGCGTAAAAATTGCTGGGGAGGCCTCTGAAACAGATGAGGAGGAAGATGCAAGCCCCTGTAGGCCGAAAGCAGAGCCTAAATTGATCGGCACGGACTTGCCTCCACTGATTGTTTTCAGGAATGAGGATCTGGGGTCCCCCACAGCAGTTGAAGAGAAGCCTGCCCTTCGTATCAGACATCGCGGCCGCTACAGCACTTTGCTACAGCAGAAGCTGATCGAGAGTAATGCCCGCTTGTACTACGATGTCAGCAGCACCGTCAAACAAGTGTACCAGACTGCTATCAAGGAGATTGGGGCCATAACTGGACAGCTCAGTAACTCCCAAAACGGCATCATCAGCGCATCACACAACATCCGGCTTGTCCTGGAGGACTTGCGTGCTGTTGCAGAAAAGATAGACATCATCACCAGCTGCAACCTGCTGCCTGATATCCAGATAGAGCTACCTCCAGTAAACACCTAGCTGGTTCTAGAACAATAGCTAGCCAATTAACTGCTTTTTGCAGGCAGTTAAAGGTGTTTAGAGAGACTGCCGCAACCCTGGCCATAAGGTGCAATAAGAAACTGGAACAGAAGCTTTTGACTCAAAACTTTTGATGCCTAGTGTTTCAGTCACACTTGTATATCCTGTAATAATCTTGCCTAAATAGTCCAGCATGGTAGAGTCAAAGAAAATTAAACTGCTCTTGATAAATCTTTTGTTGCGCTTCAATGTATATTGAATTTTTAAAGCTAATGCTTACCATATTTATACTCACACCAGCATCTTAAAAGCTTCCATTTCATGTAAAGAAAAAACCTAGTCTGTCTGTCCACGCATACCTCTGTTCATTTGTGACATGTGAATAGTCTGAGAAAGAGCGGGAAAGCCTGCCCACCTACAGACATATTTAATGTAGGTGATTAAGCAAGTGAGTAGTACAGGGTGAGTCCTTTAAAAAGAGGCCCTGTGGATACAGAGCTTGTGGTCCATGATGGTGGTGATGGAACAGGACTGGTTTGAAATTAGTTGTGTCTTTATAAAACACAATCCTCTGAATACAGAACGCTGAGTATTTGTGGAATTCAGTGAGAGAGTTGTGTTACACCTTGTGTTAATTGTGTGAGCTTGTTTCATTACTTCATACTTTTGCAGGTGATTATGGAGTCTGCTCAGACAAAAATAGCACAACTATATAGAGTATCATTGAATGCTGCAGTTTCAAGTATTCCATCTTTATCTTCATTGGCATTTATTTTTCATCAAGGAGACATATGAGCATAATTTACATAACCGTAAAGTATGATTAAGGGTACAAGGGAAGAAGTAAATGATTATCTGAATTTGAGACAAAAAAATTCTATCTGCTGTCCAGTTAGTAAAATCTCCATTCAACATCTTTATTCAACACCTGTATATTTGCATCAGTACCAGAAAAAGGGTTTTAACAGAGTTCGCAAGCATGGCTTCCCTACCCACAGGTATCCCACAAGGTTACCACATTTTTTTTCTGCAAGTGATCCTTTCAGACTATAATTCCCAGGGTTCCTTGTAGGGAAGCCATAATAGTAAACATTAGCCTTGCAGGTCAGGTATTCCTGACGTGGTTTGAAGCAGCGCTGATCCGCAGGGGGGAAAGGCACTACAGAAATGTATTTGCTATTCTCTTTCAAGATAGCTTATTTAAAATGTGTAAGAAGAACAGAGACTCGTCAGTACTGCACACAGGAGAGGGTCACATCCCCAGCTATTTCCAGGTGGTCCACCTGTCCTGAAGGGATTCGATGGGTGTAATTGAATATCGCAATTCCATTCACAGTCACCTGATAGTTATTCTTTAGGTTGGTGATCTCCATCTAGTGGTAGAAAGTAAGAAATGTTTTATTCTGAGTTTTCAAACCATACTAATCCACACACAAGAGGCATGGAGCAGGTTTTATCCATTATATCAATTTTATTAGGGTTGCCATACTGTTGTTGAGGGGTTTTGGTTTTTTGCAGAGTCACTTCTGACATGGGTTGCTATACATCTGGATTTTCACAGACATCGCAGTGATTTCCGCCCGGACACTGTTTCCGACTGCCAAATCCCGGCTACGTCTGGGAAATTATGGACGTATGGCAACCCTAATTTTATACCAGTTTAATGATTTCCTAAAATGAAGCAGTTTGTTCAGAGTGCCAAGAATCCTGTCAGATGTATAGCACTACTTTATAAAAGTATAGCGCTCTGGTCCCAAGCAAAGTCCAACCCCTTAGTCCACATTAGGATAATCTGGGGAGGGGGAAATCTCTCCCTTCTTAGCTGCTTAAAAGGCATTGTTTGAGACAGAATGCTAGAATTGATGGTCTGATGTGGAAAGGCAAGTATAAGCCAGTAAAATGGCTGTAGGAATATAAACACTGCTTTCCTTGATCAGGCCAAAGGTCCTTCTTCATGTGTTTTCACCTGCACATGAAGAGCAGGAGGAAGTGGCCAGTTCCTCTCTGCTAAAAGGGCAGGGGGCAAGGAGAGTGTTGGAAGGGTCTTTCCAAGATCAGCTGTTGAAACTAATAGCTGCCACAGAATGTCAGAAGCTTCTGTGTAACCGTTGCAACCTAAGTTGGTATTGTTGATGAGGTGTGCCTTCTGACAAAGATCTGAAATGTAAACCAGTGCAAATGCTCATTCCCCAAAGGCATTTCTTACATGGAAGGCCTGGCCAGGGGAGAAGGGCATGGCAGGCAAGTGCCTCTCCTCAGAGCCCCAACTGCCATGGATGAAGGTGTTCCGGACTATTGCTCCCTCCTTCAGTCGGGGATTGATGTGCAGGGCGATGTTGCCGCTCATTGTGTTTTTCAGGTTCACATGGAATCTGGGAGGAAGGAGGCGACAATGCATATTCCTGGGATCTCCAAAATGATACAACACGACTTTTAACCCAGCATAGATCTTAGAGAACCAAGTCTTCCTAATCCTTTGCAAATTTAATGCAGATATTGAGTGAAAGCGATACAGAAGTTTCCCCACTTAATGCACGACTGCATATTTGCGCATTGCCGGGATAAAGATAAATCAATTTAAAGGGCAAAAAGAGCCTAAGAAGAGCAGAAAAACTGCAAAAATGACATGAAAAGAGCAGGAAAATGGCTAGCGATCCAGGAGCCTTTGCACAGACCTCTGAGGGCTGTGGAGAGTTGGGAGTTTGAGAAAGGAGGTTTGGAGGGAGCAATTGTGATGGAGTTTGGCAGATTCTTGGAGGAGTTTGGTTTTTTAGATGGTGTTCCCCACTATATACAATTTCACGCATACCTGGAAATGTAACCCCTGCCTACAAGAACTTATAAAATGGGTGGGTGGAATAAATAACTTCTTTACAGCTTTGCAAATAAATCTACTAAAGTTACATGCCCACTGAAAATGTTTACTAGCCTGGCTGCTCCCAGTATAAATATCTAATGCTATCATCTTCTGTACACTTAACTTGGAGTGGGCTGCATTGAACTCACTGGGATTTAGTTCTGAGTAAATATGCATAGGACCTGTTAGTTGCATGTGGCCAGAAAGAAAAAGTTATTTTGATCATTTTTGTTCTTGCCATAGCCTTGAGGACTCTCCATTATTTGCCACAAGTGACTGGGTAAGTGACTATTTACAACCTGCTGTTTCTTCAAGAAATACACAAAACAAATGGGTATTTGAGAGTGCTTACCTGATAGACAATCTTCTTGAGCCTGCCTTTCTCTGCTTCTTGCTCTACAGCCATCTTAAATAATTCACTCTTTCATCTGCTTGGCCTAAACTTCTTGATCTGGCTTTTATTTCACTCATGGCTCATCCAGACTACCTTTTATGCCACATTTCTAGCCCAAAGGTCTGGAATTTAAAGCTTTGTGTCCAAGCAGGTTTTCTTTTTTGTCCCGGTGGTTTCCCTAGGGAAACCTGCGCTTTACTGTTGATTACAGCAATCAGGTTTTCTGCAGATTTTTATTTGCTCTGATTCAGCAGTAAAATGCGGATTTTCCCTGGGGAAGCACTGGGATATATATATATAAAAACCAACATCACTCTGACACACAGCTTTAAATCCCAGATCTGTGCCTGAAAAGGGCAATGTAACAGAAAGTCTGGATAATCTTTTTAGACCTGAGTCTTCCCTAGATCAGATTTGTATTACCACACTGGTACCATCCCTTTCCTCCAATATACAGTGGAACCTCGGGTTACGTACCGTCCTCTTTACGAATGCTTCGGGTAACGAGCTCCGCTAACCCGGAAGTAGATGCCCCTAGTTGCAAACGTTGCCCTGGGATGCAAGCGGAAGTCGCGCGCCCACGGTGTGGCGGCAGTGGGAGGCCCCATTAGCAAAAGCGCATCTCATGATAAGAACAGTTTCGGCTTAAGAATGGACATCTGGAACGAATTAAGTTCGTAACCGGAGGTACCACTGTACTCAGGGTGGCATCTTTGAAGATTACTTTGCCTTGCCCTATGAGTCTCTGGCTCAACATCATCCAGTGAGCTTCATGGCTGAACGAGGATTTGAACTCTCCAGCCGAACCAAAGTGCTCTCCACACTGGCTCTCATTATTGTCCTCATTTGCAGAAAAGCAATCCTGCGCCTAGGAGCCACAGGCTGACCTAGAAGCTCAGCTTCAGCATAAAAAATGTGCTGAAAAAGTCAGCTTATACACAAGTATATACGGTACTTTCTGATTGGCTTCAACTTCATTTGATAATTGAATGTAGGAAGTTGGTGTATAATATTGTCCCCTCTGCTAACGCACCTGTTTGAGTGAAAAGGCACATTCCCCACAATTGTAATCTTGCGGAACTGAGTGAAATTCCCCGGGATGGCAATGTGGAATGGGACAGCCTGGAAAAAATAACAACAGGGATTCAGTCCTTCATCAAGAGAAGCAAGAAGACAAAGCAGAAGCTGAAGCCACCCAGGAAGCTGAAGAATGTTCCTCCATTCAGGAGTCAGCACAGGTGGATCTTGATCTATCAGAGGCTGAAATTCGGTAGGCTGGTTGCAACCAAAGGACACAATTTACAAGTCAGCTGTGATCACTCTTCCTTAGCCCTAAAATGCAAGTACACCATGAACTGCTAGAACCTTCCCACACTGTATCTCTACCCTCCAGCCCCTATTGAAGCAGGGAGAAGCAAGGTACAGTTTAATGCCTCTGATTATGAGACGCCTCTAAACACCAAAAAATGGACTAGTTTCTTAGTTTTTAGTTGCATCCTTGCCTTTGTGCCAATATATATGCAAACATCAAACGTCATTATTTCTATCTCCCTTGTCTTTTCTGATAGAATATACACATCTTCTTGGTAGTGCTATGGGATCTCTTTAACTTATAGCTTATGTCTTAAGGGGAGAAGCTGCTGGCACGCAGAGCAAATCTCTTGATTATATTTGCAGCCTGGTTTCCTCTTGAACTTGCTTACTTAGCCTTTAAAGCCCTAAACGGCCTCGGTCCAGTATATCTGAAGGAGCGTCTCCTCCCCCATCGTTCTGCCCGGACACTGAGGTCCAGCTCCGAGGGCCTTCTGGCGGTTCCCTCACTGCGAGAGGCCAAGTTACAGGGAACCAGGCAGAGGGCCTTCTCGGTAGTGGCGCCCGCCCTGTGGAACGCCCTCCCATCAGATGTCAAAGCGATAAACAACTACCTGATATTCAGAAGACATCTGAAGGCAGCCCTGTTCAGGGAAGTTTTTAATATGTGACATTTTTGTGTATTTTTCATCTTTGTTGGAAGCTGCCCAGAGTGGCTGGGGAAACCCAGCCAGATGGGCGGGGTACAAATAATAAATTATTATTATTATTATTATTATTATTATTATTATTATTATTATTATCTTTCATTGTGCCCTGCCCAGACCCTCTTTGGCTCCTGTCTGCTTTGCTGCCTCTTAACACTCAGCTTTCCCTAATCTAACTATGCAACCTATGTCTAGACTTGGCCTGATGCCTGTACAAGATCAGACCAATCTGTCTTGACTAAGCGTCCTGTCTCCCAAGAGTGGACAGATTCAGGAGCTTCAGGGGGAAAAATGCCACAAGAACACTTCATATAGCCAAAAGGAGGTGCATCTGTTGTGTGGGTGTGTTGTAAATTATATTTGGGGCCTACAGGCTGCCAGTTTACCATCTTTAATCTATGTCAAAAACGAGCAGAAATTTCTAAATTTATCTATGATGGAGAACCAAGAGGCATAGAAAACAGAACACCAATATACTCACAGGATTGGACAAAGTTATTCCACTGTTACCCTGAGAAAAGATGAAGAAACAGAGAAAAAGTGAAAGGCCTTGCAATAATAATACTGTATAGCAGAACCGAAAAGCATCAAAATTCAGTCTAGACCGAACCCCTGCAGTCCTGCTTTATCTAAACTAGGTAGACTACAATATTGCCTCAGATTTTAAGCCACACACCTGGGCCGTCTTCTTCTTCCTTGTCTGCAAAGAATGAAAAGAAAAGCATTTCATTTATATAGAACTATTGTTTGTATTAATTTTTTTGTTTCAGGGAACACTTGTTGAACACAGTGAATAGGTGGAGCAACCAAATGTCTCCAGAGTTGTCCACTAACTAGAGAGAATGTTTCACTGACTAGTCTTGCCAGTGCTTTTTTCCTTAAAAAATGTTTGGGAGTATTCTCATTTTCCTACTCATGCTGAAATACTGCCCCTTAGTGAGACCAAACTTAGATTCACAAAATGTTTAGGGGTATGTGTACCGCTGTGTCCCCCCAGAAAAAAAGCCCCGAGTCTTGCTTTTTGATTAGTCAGTTTAAGTAAACCCCCCCCCTAAATACAATTTTAAATGTTTTCTTTGCAAGGGCCCTGCATGAAATATCAGAATCTACAGGTAAAGGTACCCCTGCCCGTACGGGCCAGTTGTGTCCGACTCTAGGGTTGTGCGAGCCAGCACCAGCGCAGCACACGGAAACGCCGTTTACCTTCCCGCTATAAAGCGGTACCTATTTATCTACTTGCACTTAAGGGTGCTTTCGAACTGCTAGGTGGGCAGGAGCTGGGACCGAAAGATGGGAGCTCACCCCGCCGCGGAGATTCGAACCGCCGACCATGCGATCAGCAAGTCTTAGGCACTGAGATTTTACCCACAGTGCCACCCGCGTCCCCATCAGAATCTATACTAAGAAAGAGATGAAAAATCATCACTCTGGAATCTATGAATACTCCAGCTTCTTCTCATGTAACATCTCACCATAATTCTTAACCCAATTCTTCTCCTAATCCTCACTTCCTCTCTGCAATCCTGACTTGCCAGAGGGCAGATCTATACGTAGCTCAGTGGGAGGGAACAAAACTCTTCCACAGTCTCATTATTTTGCAGGTAGGATTGAAAACGCATACGAGAAAATTTAGGTTTGCACAATCAAAGTGGATTAAGCACGTGGATCAAACGGCGTTTCCATGCGCTGCTCTGGTTCGCCAGAAGCGGCTTAGTCATGCTGGCCACATGACCCGGAAGCTGTACGCTGGCTCCCTCGGCCAGTAAAGCAAGATGAGTGCCACAACCCCAGAGTTGTCCGCGACTGGACCTAACGGTCAGGGGTCCCTTTACCTTTACCATGTGCTTGGTTTGTTTTTCTGTTCTTTTTCTAATATTTCCCTACAACTGTTTTTCATGTTGTATATACATTGATTTAAAAAAATGGAAGAAGAAGAAGAAAGTCCCACAGATTTCAACAGGATTTATTCCCAGCCAGGTAACTGAGTATAGGATTGCAACCTGTGGCACCTTCTGCCTGGAAAGCATGTATCTTTCTCATGGAGCTATGCCCTACTTCCACTGAGCTCTGGGCCTTCCCATGTGCCAACAGGATTCTGCTGTTGTGCGGCAACCACAACAAGTCACTATTTGTGAGTGGATCAGGGTGCCAGGTTGTGCCTTAGGCCTCCCATCCTTTAGCCCAGTAGTTTTATAGGATCTGAGAAGTTTCCACGAAGCTACTCACAGAAAAAGATGGCTGCACAAAGTTCGGCTGAGCAAACATTCCACCAACCTGAAAAGAAAGAGATATATCATTAAGAGAGCATTAACTTTTGCACTGACAGAAGGATATTTAGCGTTTTGATTCTGTTAGCTCTGGGATGCAGTTTCAGCATTATTATTATTATTATTATTATTATTATTATTATTATTATTATTGCAGACAGAGGTCACTTTAGTGCTGCTAACACAGTCACTTGACTTCAACCCCAGAGGCGCACTCTATTGGTATGTTTAACCTTGAGGACTGAGGGGGGGGGATACGATAACACTGGTCAAATATCTGGAAAGCTGTCACAAAGAAGAGAGGAAAGACTCATTTGCTCCTGGGAATACTAGATCTTAAGTTACAGAAGGGTAGACTTCAGTTGAACGTTAGGATAAATTTTTTAATGGTCAGAGTGGTTTGACAAAGTGGTCTGCCTGTTCACTGTGCATTTGGACACCTCTTAAGATATCGTAGCAAAATTTTGCATGATGTTTCTTGAGATCAAGGCACAGGGTTTTGTCTGGATATAGCTAGATGTCATTTTGAGCCCTTCAAGACTGATTTCCAAGCAACGCAGGGTATGAGACCACTGGTTACGTATATGGGGTCATGGGCCTCGCGCTTACTGGAGGTCTGCAAGTTGACGTTAGACAGCCTTGTTCTAGGAATGCCTTAGGGCTGAACAATGGAGAAGGTTGGCCCAGATGATCTGCACAACAGGTGTGGGGAACCTTTGGTTCTCCAGATGTTGCTGAACTATAACTTCCATAATTTCTGGCCACATTTGCTTGGGAGTTGTAGTTCAGCAATATTGGGGGGAGCAGAGGTTCCCCCCTCCTACTCTACAAGGCTCCTTTAACAGTGATTCTGTGATTGGCTTCCAAGAATTAGGGAGGCAAAGGTTCAATGTGAACACAAACAGGATTCTCAACTATTTTCCCCCAGTGCACCATGTGCTCAACAGTCATGTGACCAGGTCTTCAGTGGGTGACCTTGAATAAGTCACTTATTTCTCCGTTCCAACCCAGAAAATGGGAAAACTAGTGGCCTACTTTGCAAGGAGTTATGAAGGTGAATGTAGTACAGTGGTACCTCGAGTTAACAAACGCCTCAGGTTACAAACGGTTCAGGTTACAAACTCCGCTAACCTGGAAGATTTGCCTCGAGTTGAGAACTTTGCCTCAGGATGAGAACAGAAATCATGTGCCGGCGGTGCAGCGGCAGCAAGAGGCCCCATTAGCGAAAGCCCGCCTCTAGTTAAGAACAGTTTCAGGTTAAGAACGGACCTCCAGAACGAATTAAGTTCATAACTAGAGGTACCACTGTAAAGCACTTCGTGCATTGAAACTGCTACATAAATAACCAGTACTAATCAATCCCCCCCCAGCCCCAGCCCCCCCACTAGATTTGCAAAGCAAAGAGATGCAAACAAACTAAGGGTTTCTACTTACTGTGGTGGCTGTCACAACATTGTAAGCAGGAGGGGTGTATGGGGGTGGAGGCTGAAAACAATAAAAATACGTTTGGAAATAAGAACTATTTTTTTAAAACAACAACAATAACAACTTGCCCTTCTGGCACTGTCTCTTTTCCCAATTTGATCCAAAAGCCATCAACTGCCACCTTAAAGTGATACACCCATTAGTAAATATATGAATGAGTAAATAACATTATTGGCTTCCAAAGCAAAAAAAAATATTCCTTTTTTATTTGTTTGCTTCCGAAGCAAGTTTGCATTTCTCATGCCCTCTTAAGATTAAGTATGAGCACACAAAGCCACTTTGTACTAAGTCAGATCACTTATCCAGCTTGGCCCATTCTGCTTACTCCAACTGGCAGCATCTTGGGTAACAAGGCCATGAGACTTCTGGTAGAATCCTCAGAGATGCCTCTCACAGTTCTCTTACCTGATATTTGAAAATTTGAAACTTAGCATTATTGGTGGCGGTAGCTTATTTATGGAATGCCTTCTCTGAAAGGTCTGCCTGCTGCCCACTTTCTTGTACACATATCAGGCAAAGGCTAATCAAGAAGAGTCTTAACCCTGCTGATCACCTTGTGATATAAAGCAAAATCTTCTGTTTCAAATATTTGTGTTTCAGTGTGGGTACTGTAAAATCAGTTTCAAGAACTGGCAAAGACGCACGGCAAGTACGTTTCAAAAAAATAACTTACAGAACAATCCTAATGGGACACAGGGTGTGTGTGCGTGGAATTCTGTCAAATTATGGCAAGTCCCAAAAGCTTATGCCAGGCAATGGAATTGAAGGTTTATTTGGGGTCACAAGGAGGCTTGGGATCCTGTACACCCACAGCCTCCTCTGACAGAGGCTTGGCATGGCACAACACAGTTCATTGTTGGTCTTGCCACCGCTGGTGTAGCAATGGCAGAGCACAGCACCGATGGCACTTAAGTTTTCTGCCACCATGACGAAGAAGAGTCTGTCTGCAAACCACCCTCTCTGGCACAGAGGGAGGTCTGCAGCATCCCTCCCCAGGATTGCTCCCCAAGAAGGGTAAGTTGTTCATACAAATTCACTGCATCTTGTTTCTAGTGTTCAAGCTCGCATGAGAACTGCAACCACAAATGTTTTCTCTCTTCCGACTCCATATCTCACCAGTTGCCAGCACCTCATTTTAAAAATTGACTGACACATTTCTAAGTGTTCTCCTTTGATTTGCAAATGGCTGCTACGCACATTACAAGGTACATGATCCACCACGGTAAGCTGAAATTGGAGGAGGTGTAAGAGGTGAAAATGTGCAACTCACATTAGTGCCAGCAAAGCTGATGCAGTTCAAAGAGACATCTCCATTGATCTGCAATGTCTGGACCTCATGGAAAGGAAGGCGGTGTCTGTACTCCAGGAAGTGGTTGCCATTGACGGATACCTAGAATAATGGAAGGAGGAGGTGATATTAGTTCTTGGGAAACAAGAGGCAGAATTTGTGCTCCTAATCCAGGGGTGGAACTTGGAGGGACAACCTAGTTAAGGTGTTGGAGTCAGTGAGTTGAACTAGATTATAATCAGAGTAGACTCATTGAAATTGATGGAACTAAACTGACTCTCATGTCCATTAATTTCAGTTGTCTACTCTGTGTAGAACTACAATTGGATATAAGTAACTCTTAGCATTTAACTTTATTGTTATGAGTTTGGAGGAGGTTGAGGAACTGGTTAGGCGAGTCCCTTTGAGACGAGGCAAGATTTTGTGACATTTTGCCTCGCCGGAACCCACCGATGCTGCTGCCACTTCATGGGCAACCCAGGTAAAGGAGGAGGAAGAGGTGTAGCATGGCAGCGCAGCACATTCCCACTTCACCTCGGGTGACACGACGCGACACACTGCCCCTGCCCTCCCCACTATGACGAGATGGATTATATTTCCATTCAAATTGATAGAAAAATGGCAGGTGCAAACGTTATGCAAATCTGTGTCTCCTTTTTTGGTGGTGCCCACATGGCCCCCCTCCTCTTATGGTTTCAAGATTTAATAAATAGAAACATTTAGAAAATCCACTGTCAAGTTTATTTCTTAAAGGCTGTTTGAATAAAATTATTATAAGCATAAATACATGATTATACAGACTACAGCAATCTCTTTAATGCCTTGGATTGACTGATGTCCTATGTTTGTTTGGCTTCTCTCTTGGCCTAGCTGCTTAAAACTGAAATTTTAATTTCAATAAATATCTATAATATCTATGGGGGGGAAAACTGAATGACAGCCCACAGGGAGAGAGTTTGGTGAATTGTACTGGATGCCTCGAATGATCTGTGACAGCCTACCTTCTTCTTGGCATAGAATTCCACCCTTGTTCTACTTCACCCACTAGGTGGTAGCAGCTATCAAACAAAGGGGACTTGTGAGGCAACCCATTCAGCAGAACTCACAGGTGAAGCATTTCTTCTGTATTTTCAGAAGCCTGGCCCTCCTGAAATGGAAGGCTGTGCCCACACTTGTACAAGCGCCACACCCCTCGGCATGAAAGTATGCACAGAACCCCCTAAACACTTCACTTCCCAGCTACACGCTTACTGTGGTTAGGGATGGGCAAATAAAGCCATTCAAGCTTCTGCAGGTTTCTAATTCTTCCAGTCCTAAGTTCATTTCTCCACAATTTGCATATCGGTCTGCTCATTTCTGTTTTAAGTCCTCATGAGAACTCATTGCAGCACCGGGCCAGCCTGCACAGCTCTTATACAGCCTTTATATATTTCTTCTTCACTATCATCATCCCCTGCCAAATTGTTCTTGTCAGCCGAGCCGCATCTCTAACGGGAATGCGGCGGGAGGGGAAGGAATGGAGAAGCATATCTCTTATAGAATCATAGAACTGTAGAGCTGGAAGGGACCCCGAGGGTTATCTACTCCAACCCCCTGCAAAGCAAGAATTGCAACGCGAGGCTCCCCATCCAATATGAAACCATACCCGACCCTGCTTTGCTTTGCAAATGTGCTAGCAGCTCTATTGCTGCACCACTATGGGGCCAAGCTTCTGCCGGCCTAAACATAAAGCCAAGTCGGAGTCCATGCTGGAGATAAATCTTGCACTTGCAAATTATCAAGTCCTTCCCCTGCAAGACACGAAGGGGCTGCATGGTAGACAGCGAGCCGGAGCAGCTTCTCCAGCCTCCTCACCTGATAGCAGTGGCTCTTGACGTTGATGATCATCTCAAAATAAATATTTGGCTGGAAAGGCATGTTGTAGGCCCGCTCCTCAGCTCCCCAGCGGCCGTGTTGCTGAGTATTGCACACGACGACTCGGCCTTCGTCGAAACGGGGGTTGAAGTGGAAGGCGATGTTGCCGTTGCCGCACACTAGATTGACCGAGAATCTGAAATGTGAGGGGATGGTTGGGCTGAAGCTCAGCAGGAAGAGATGGGCAGGTGGGCTGGTTGACCATGGCCACACCTGCAGGGAAAGAACTGGAGAGATGAAATGGAGGGGAGAGTAGGGGAAAGGGGTGATTCGGAAAGAGCAGGAGCCATGGAGGTGCATAAAAGATTGTGTTGTTTAATGAGCTTTAGGCTGCGTACACACCTTCTCTTTAAAGCACAGTCCTCTCCCCCAAGAACATTGGGAACTGTAGTTTACCCCTCAATGACCTAGAATTCCCAGCACCCATAACAAACTACAGTTCCCAGGAGGTTCTTTGAGGGCACTTTATGTTAAGTTGTGGGTGAACATATCAGACGACACAGTGATTCTTCAAACAGCTCTTCTTTATTCAGAGGCCACAACAGAACTGAACTGAAGGGCTCAGTCAGCCTGCTTATATAGAGCTCCAGTACAACGTTACTGTAGCAACTTTCTAAAACTATCCAATCACTGAACGTCACTTTCGATCCTTCATTTGCATAAAAACTATCCAATCACTGAACGTCACTTTCGATCCTTCATTTGCATAGCTATCTACAGTATCCCCCTGCTGGCTCAGGGTGAGAACTTCAGTACATAACACTTTAAACCTATGGTGGACCCAAAAAAACCCCAAAAAAAACCCACACACCTGAAGAGACTGGCAAAAAAGTTATATTCCTCAACTAGCGTCATTGTCCATATTTGATAATCAAAATCCTGGTGTTCTTTACATTTTTAATGGTGGCAGCTCAACGGCTGATAAGTACTGGTAAAACTACTCTAGGATTAACGTTATCCAGGTGGTATGCAAACATATGGCAAATCGATTTAGTTGAAAAGTTAACGGGAAGATTGAAGGCTATGGTTTTTTAAAAAATGACTGACATAGTTTCGTTTCATTTCATATGTTAACAGAGCTTAGTCACACGATAATTCCTCCATCAACCCATGGAGAGACTCTCTAAATTAATCTACTGGACTTCACACAGAAGCACCGTGCTTCTGTTTTAGGATAATGTTTGTTAATTGTATGTTCAGAAAGCCAGTCAATAAAAATATTTGCCAAAAAAACCCAAAAGTATGCCACTTCAAGCCGCCCCTACCATTCTGAGTGAATAACAATATATATAGCCACATGCAAAATAAATTACAAGGCTTTGTTTTAATAACTGTGCATATGTTGTGCGATTTGTCATGCTTGGGTGAGAAAAGTTCCATATTCTATATACCAATTGAAGGTACAGGGACCCTGACCACTTTTGCTCCTGTCCACCCTATTTTGTTTGTTTGTTTGGGTGAAGTTCCTTTCGGCCTAGTGAGGACCCTCAACATGGCTCACAATATTAATAAAATAAGAATAAATTTTAAAATAGCCATTTAGGCTGGGATCCCCAAATAGCTACTTTTGACGCACTTGAAGGGATGGGGAAGCTTAATGTGGTTTCTGCCTTTTTAATAGATCTTCTCCCCCAAGCTGCCTCATGACATAAACCATTTCTGAGACTTCCTACAGTTTCAAAAGCGGCTCGTTGTGTGACAGGGTGCTATTCAAGAAACAAAGTCCTCCTTGGTACCAGGAACTAGTTTCCTGCTTCTTTAGATTAAAGTCATAAAACTTTGTTTAGAAAACAAACAAAAACCCAACAACAATTTCATTATATAATGCTACAAAGCAAGCCTCTCAACAGCACCCTCACATCGGTATCTCCCTCACACAAGAAAGGCTTTTTTGAATGATTCTTCTTTAAAATAAAATAAAAATTTACCAGTTGCTTGAAAGCCAGTTGTGTGAGGTAAATTACCACAAAACACTTGAAGACCATTCTATGGTTGCTTATGGCAGCATCCCTACTCCCATTTACCACCAGTAATGGGCAAAGGTGTAGGTGGGGGAGCTGCCATATTGGCAGCCATGGAATGTTCTTCAGGCGGTTTTGTGGTAATTTACCTCACGTGTCTGTATAAAAACAGCACCCCATTACTAGGGGCTGGTTTTCAAGCAACTGGTAAATGGTTGCTTCTTTTAAAAATGAAATCCTTTACTATCAAAGGGATATATGGTAATTTCTCCACAGAAATTAGCGTCAAATACCATGAGCTATGCTATATACAGAACCAGCACCAAACAAGGTGGCCTATGGGTATTTTGAAGTGTTCACTGGAATGAGCCCTAAATCCTTAATCCTGCTGCTCTTCCAGCAGGTACAATGCCCTCCTTTACAGAAGACAGTCCTCTGTTTGAAGGGAATTCTGGTCTAAACCCTGTTTAAAGGCCTTTTCAGTGATGGCTCCCCATTTGTGGAATGCTCTCCTCAGGGAAGCTCACCTGGTGCCATCATTACTTACTTTTAGGCACCAGGCAAAAAAACATTTCTTATCACCAGACCTGTGGCTTTGAATTATCCGTGGCCTAAAACATTAGATTAGAAGAATGATTTAGTCATGCCTTTTTAAAATACTAATGAGTTTTAGCTTTTTCTGTTTTGCTTTATGCTGGTTTTGATGTATGTGTTATCTATTTATTTTTGTAAGCTGTCTGGGTTGCGTGTGTGTGTGTTACTAATAAGTTTAATTAATTAATCAATGATAAAAAACAGCCACTAAGGAGACCTTGCAGGGGTCCATCAGCAATGAACACCTGGGAACAGGTAGGCACACAGCTCACCTGCTCACAGTCCTCACCACTATAATGAGAGCAGATGTATTGAACTTTTAAAAATAAAATTATGGTACACAGATTTCTCTAACTTAGTTATACTCAGAGGAGACCCACTTAAAATAGTGAACCTACGTTAGCCTTGTCCATTCGCTTTAATGAGTCTAACTCTGAGGAGAACTAGCATTAGGTACAACCCAAGATTTCTGCACATTTTGGGCAAATCTGTCTCCTCTTATTTGTGGTGTCATCTAAGTGACCACCCTAGCTAAAGGAGAGGGGTAGATTAAAAACTGCACCACTTTCAGGGGAAGGAAAATGTGGGTCCCTTGTGGGGAAAACTATATGTTGTTGCCTGGGCATTAGTACCTGGAACCAACCCCGTTTGTGGCTAAATACTGGTAAATTGTAATATTTCTACAGATATTCTTAAAATCAAGAATACTGGTAACAGGGTAGGGCTTGATGTAAAACCTTCCAAGTTCAGGGGTAGACCACATCAGTATGGGCGGTGAAGTCCACTGCAAAAGCAGCTTATTCACTTGTGGTGAGCAGCTAAAAATAACGATAGTAAAGGCTGGATGGAGTTGTGGCTTTAATTGTTCTGGAAACTATTCCAAAAGGAAAACACTGCCCATGTTGTTGTTTCTCCTGGTTCCTTGTTCACACAAATACCGTATATTTTGTCCCCTGAGGCACAATGCAAATGACACCTCCTCTAATGTCAACATGAAAGCTACCTAGGGCTGGGCAAGTTATTATGGCACCTGAGGCAGAAAATCTCACATCTCCCCGAGAGTAAAAATCTCAATAAATATAAAAGTAAATAAGAGGTGATTTAATGCCTTGTCTTGACGACACCCAAAATTTCAGCCGCCTGAGGCAACCAAATTACTCTGCCCAATGCTAGGGCTGTTCCTGACAGAGCAACTTCACGTTAAATGCAAAATGTGAGGCACTCTCTGGAATTTGGGAGAGCAGGGGAAAGTCAGTGAAGAGGAAGGAGACGGAAAGACTGTAAAAACAGAGAATCAAATATGAGGGGAAGGTATTGATGAGGCGGGATAATTATCAAAAGGGCACAAAGAGCTAAGCGGAAGCAGGACAAACCTTTTCACAGAAACCCGGACTTGCCCTTGGATTACAATCATCTTCCCCTCAGCCAGACCCCCAAAAATGGGGCCAGTAAAGGGAACGCTCTGTGGGGCAGAAAAAAGAAAAGAAAAAGGTGGTCATCTGCTGGGTCCCTATTCCCCAAACTCAAGTATAATCTCCCCAGGCGTTATATATATCTGAATATCATTGGTGTGATAAACAATGGAAATGGTCTTAAAAGTCCTGCTTTTAAAATACACATTTTTAGCTTAAGGCCCCAAACTTGGTGGTGGGGACATTCTGGGCAAAGATTTGACTCAAATTTGGTAGTGCGCAAGGAGTGAAAGACCTCAGGGGCAACTTGGATTGCATTGACTGGAAGGCAGCAAAGAGTCACAACCACTTTAAATTTTGCCTTGCTTTTTTCTTACCATGCCTTTGGGTTGAGGTAAGATAGCCAAGGTTATTCAGCATTTATCCCGATACGCTTCCACAGAGCTAACAAGAAGCTTAGGCGATGTCTGGTTTTTACTGAGCATTTGTTCCAATTTGTTTATACTACAATGAGCACCCATCCCAATTTGCTTGCGGGAAGCTTACATGTCTTCTCGCTGCTACTTCATTCACCGCATACTTTTCAATGCATTTCCAAACCACAAAAAGGGCTTTTCTTTGTTAAACAGATTTATTGCACTAGGGTAACAGAGCCCTTCAGTCCACTTTAAATGTGCAAACCTAAAGTTGAATCTCTCCCACAAAACAGTGTCAGTCCAGAGGAATCCAGAGAAATTGAGGAGCTGAACTTTCCCCCTTACTTATCTCCCTGCCAAGAAAAGCCTTATCAGCTTCTGCATTTTCTCTGGGGTTTTTCTGTAACTCAATTATCCTTGCAGCAGCTCAATCCTAGCTGTAAGGATGCACATAGAAAGCTTGCTGCAAGGAGACAGGGAAGGGCTAGTCAGATCTCCCGGCTAGTTCATCCTTAGGAGAGACACAACCTCTTAGAAAATGTCTATGCAGCCTTCCTGACCACCACCTTCTCAAGCTTTCCCCTCTTACACACACTCTCCACACTCACCGGGTTTAAAATAGGCTGCAAAGCCATCTTGGAGCTTCCTGGATCTCAGCACCTGGTCTTTCTCTTTCTATGCCCTTCTGAAGGAAAAGGGAAAGCTTGCCAAAGCAGAATTAAGTTTCGTTTCCTCAGAAAAGTAGGCGGGGTACAAAACTGGCCGCTGTTTGTTCTTTTATCAAATGGGAATAAAGCTATTATCAGAGACCCAAGAGATAGCAATGAACCTGCTCCAACAGCACCGGTTACCGCATATTTTTCCGGCACGATACATTTTTTTACAACATGAAGGTGCAGCAAGGGGAGGAGAGAAGGGTTATCTGTTGAATTTTTCCCTCTTCTGCAGCCATTAAAGTACTCTGCACTGAAATACAGAAGCAGGCAAAGGTTTACTATCTGTTAGCTCATATGAGAAAGTTCTGTTTAGGGATTGGGTGTGTGTAGAATTCTGTTTAGTTTGTATCTGAAGGTGAACTTCGTACTTTTTGAGTCAATACATGATCTGAAACACAGCCATCCTTTGAAATTTGGACTTCTCTGAATTTTGCAATGCAGTTCTCCAACCAAGTGATGTGCTAAAAAATGCAGGTACTGATGTAAAGGTGCACATAAAATGCTCATCATAGGGACAATAACATACAAAATGCATTCTATTAGGGGAAACTGGTTTGTAAAAATATGTACGGTGGTGCCCCGCAAGACGAATGCCTCGCAAGACGGAAAACCCGCTAGACGAAAGGGTTTTCCGTTTTTGAGTTGCTTCGCAAGACGAATTTTCCTATGGGCTTGCTTCACAAGACGAAAACGTCTTGCGAGTCTTGCGATTTTTTTTCGCTCCCCCCCCCTTTTTCTAAGACGCTAATAGCCTTTTAGCTGCTAAGCCGCTAAGCCTTTAATAGCCGCTAAGACGCTAAACCGCTAATAGCGCTAATCCGCTAAGCCGCTAATAGGGTTGCTTCGCAAGACGAAAAAACCGCTAGACGAAGAGACTCGCGGAACGGATTATTTTCGTCTTGCGAGGCACCACTGTATATTTTGCATAGAAAAAAAAGGTGTGTATTCGGACTAAGCACTAAGATGTGGACGGATATTCATGAGGACTTTCTTTTTTTTAAGTCACAAACTGATGTGGAAATGTCTGACTGGAAATGAGAGAAACTGAGAGAAATCAAAATTGACAGATTTGCCCATCCAAATGCCTGTGTGAGACAAATTGGGTCCTCTGGTGAGACCTGGACAACCTGTTGTGGGTGGGTACAGTTGGTTAGCCACAACACCCGATTGGTAGGTCCCTCAAAGCTGGGTACAATCTGGCCAATGGGACGCAGTCTAAACAGTTTGAGGGACCTATTTATGCACATGCACGTGACCCAGAGCTTCCTCTTTCAGCGCATGTATTCGGAACATCCGCCCACCTCTCCTCTACTTTTGGGGCTTGTTGAGCTTGACCTTGCTGTGCCATCGTGTGTCATCTGTTGTTGGGACAGGGGGACAGCAGGAATTTTCCCCACTTGGCTGATTGACTGTTGCCATTTAGGTTTCGCCTGCCGCATAGCAAATCGTCACAACTTGTAAGGTTGCGGATAGGCTCTGGTTCAGGTGATAGGGATGGGAGAACGCTCTCGCCATCCCTATGTAAAGAGTATTCAGTTAAGGGAATCCAGGGACTCAATGGTTTGGTCAACCCCTGAGAGGTTTTCGGCTTTCCGCTTATCCAGGTGTTCATCCTTGGCTGACCTATGCTGGTACCCAGGGTCAGTGCTACCTGCATGGCAGGGAGCTAGTCGAACCAGAGCCTATGCCACCAGTCACTTTCTGTAATCAATAAAGTTGTGGCCTAAATTCTGCCAAAAACCAAACCAAAATTTTGAGTCAAGTGTGAATTTATTTAGGGGGGAGGTTTCTGGGTCTGAACACGCAAAAGTTACCACATGCTCACAGCTGATTATAACAGCATGGTAAAATCTGCCTCTTCTAATGGATGACTGTTTTCAGCTTGAGGTGTGTGGACAGCAATTTGTCAGGCAAACATTAAGAATTTGTAATGTCCAGTTCTTCAGCCTACAAATCCCTAGATCTTTATTTATATAAAATAATCCTTACCTTGCTCTACCTCCCTAAGGAGATCAGAGTGGTATACACTCAATCCAGTATAACAATGTAAGCAAGTGATAGAAAACAACAGAACTCACAGCAGCCCAAATAAGTATGAGGGCCAAAAGACCTGATTAAAAAGAAAAAAATTAAGCCAACCTCCTAAGGGCAAACAGTGAATGATCACCTTACGGGTAGAACATAACCATCAGAGTTGGTGGCCACTGACAGCGTTATCTCAATGAATTTGCCTAATTCTCTTTTAAAGTCATTCAAGTTGGTGGCCATCAAAGGACTGAGGGGGGCATAGAAAATAGCATATTAAACATTGCCATCTTTTGGATACCTGGAAGGAAGGCAAGAAAAGCCTCTGTCGAAGATCTTGATTCTCAGGAAGGATTATATGGAGGGACAGAGGACTTAGTTATACAGCTGCAAATAAATTTTTAAAGCAGGCATCCTCAAACTCAGCCCTCCTATGTTTTGGGACTACAATTCCCATCATCCCTGACCACTGGTCCTGTTAGCCAGGGATGATGGGAGTTGTAGTCTCCAAAAAGCTGGAGGGCTGAGTTTAGGGATGCCTATTTTAAAGTGTGTTGTAAAGTGCAATATACAGATGTGAAACTAGATGGCGACATTGAGCTATGGCAAATTCAATGTATTTTTCAGAACATTTTTTTAAAAAAGCATTTTCACAGCCTTTTTTATATGTGTGTGTAGATTCCACCAGAGGGACGCAGGTGGCGCTGTGGGTTAAGCCACAGAGCCTAGGACTTGCCGATCAGAAGATCGGCGGTTCGAATCCCTGTGACGGGGTGAGCTCCCGTTGCTCGGTCCCTGCTCCTGCCCACCTAGCAGTTCGAAAGCACGTCACAGTGCAAGTAGATAAATAGGTACCGCTCCGGCGGGAAGGTAAACAGTGTTTCCGTGCGCTGCTCTGGTTCGCCAGAAGTGGCTTAGTCATGCTGGCCACATGACCCAGAAGCTGTACGCCGGCTCCCTCGGCCAATAAAGTGAGATGAGCACCGCAACCCCAGAGTCAGTCACGACTGGACCTAATGGTCAGGGGTCCCTTTACCTTTACCTTTACCTTAGATTCCACCAGAGTCCTCCAGGTTACCTGGCCCCCCAACCAATTTCAGGCTTTATGGGTCAAGGCAGGTTCATTGACCTGTACTTGGAAGCAGATAAGCAGCCAATGCAGCTGGGCGGGGGGGGGGACTAACAACAGCTGTATATTTTATTTTGCACTATATAGTCATCAGTTTCTAGAATGCTTACTATAAAGCACCTCAAAGCACGTTGGTTGGCATCCGTCTTTTTGGGAGACCATGGAGGACTGCCTTTGGGGGTGAAGTCAAAGCGTTGGAAGGTTACAGTGCTTGCTCTGGCTGTAGAGAGGGATGCAGGAGAGTCATGTTTTGTTGCGGCTGGGGCAGAGGAAGCGCTTTACAATCATAAGAATCAAAATGTTAAAACATACTATTACGCGCCACCGCAACCTCCAAGCAGTGTGGGATTCCAGGGGTCCAGGCGCTTATCCGAGGTCTGTGTTTCCTTCAGAAATGAGGCACAGAGTCAACTGTTGTGGTGTCTTTATGACATATGGTTTATTTACACATATATACAACCTGAGCCTAGGGATGTGGGTGGCGCTGTGGGTAAAAGCCTCAGCGCCTAGGGCTTGCCGATCGAAAGGTCGGCGGTTCGAATCCCCACGGCGGGGTGCGCTCCCATTGCTCGGTCCCAGCGCCTGCCAACCTAGCAGTTCGAAAGCACCCCCGGGTGCAAGTAGATAAATAGGGACCACTTACTGGCGGGAAGGTAAACGGCGTTTCCGTGTGCTGCATTGGCTCGCCAGATGCAGCTTTGTCACGCTGGCCACGTGACCCGGAAGTGTCTCCGGACAGCGCTGGCCCCTGGCCTCTTAAGTGAGATGGGCGCACAACCCCAGAGTCTGTCAAGACTGGCCCGTACAGGCAGGGGTACCTTTACCTTTACCTTACAACCTGAACCTACGGTGGAGGAATTCAGAGCTTGACACCTCAAGCAGGTCCTGTTTCTCCCACGGCTGCAACGTTGGATTCAAACTGCTAGCCCGCATTGTGCTCTGACCCCGCTTTCTCCAGCTCGCAAAACATTTACAAAATGCAGCTACCAGTATTTTTCCTCCCACTTACAGCAGGCCAACTCCAATCCTGAAACTCGCCCCCCCCCCAAAAAAAAAATCTGTCCTAAGTCTTTTGCTAACTACCCAGAGCACAGTGCAAGACTCAACCCATCTGCTGGCTGGCACACAGTTTTAGCTTTGCTGGTAGCTTCCCTTCCTGTCTTTGTTGGCTTAATGACTCTGCCTATTCCCTTCCTTTGTTCTCCTTGAGGGTTCCTTCACCAGGCGATTTCCTGCACACACAGAAAAACTGGTTTGGCCTGTATTTTGGCACTTTGCTAAATCCAGCACCTGGCAACCTATTTCAATACTCCAAGCATCGATTAAATTATAACATCTACCAAACCCAGAAATTATGGGTGCCTGTTACCCACAAACTCATAACATCACCCACCCAGGAACCAAACATCTGTCCGAGATGCACCACACACAGCTCCCCTATGGAAAAGTAACAGAAAAGTTACAAAAGGCATTTAGAACACACATCATCAAAAACATATCGTAACACAACATCACTTTTATCCCAACCTAACACAGCAACAGCTTATTCCTGTTTAGCAATATCCAGTCCCTTGTGAACTCTTCAAGCCACCCTGTTCCCCATGGTGCACACTCCCAGTCACTTCTGCATCCCAGTCCAGCTTACCCAGTTACCCCACCTAGGCATGCCCAAGATAATGGGTTTCCGACACGTTTAAGTCAAGATGTAAGCCTCAGTGGCAGAGCTGTATCGCCCAAAGGCCTTTGTTCATTCTTTCCCGTTTTTGTGCCTGTTATGGAAATTACCGGGGGGGGGGCACATCTTTAAAGTTAAATATTACAAATATTATGCCTGAATGCATCCTTTCAACTTGACAGCTCAGGGAAGTTACCTAGCTGAAAAAAATAATATAAAATCATCTCCTTTCCCATTTTCCCCTTGAAAAAGGACTCCAGGAAGTTCCCAGAGGTGACAATTGCTGGGCTCATTGTTAGCCAAAGGAAGCCAAATCTCATCACCTGACTCGCCTCAGGCTCCAGACATGCAAAGGAACTTCTATTGTACTTTTGGGTGGTGGGTACTTAAGACATATTTGTCTATGCTAATCTTATACCTGAGTCTTGCCCTGCCTTGTCTGCTTATGCTAATCTTGTACCAAGGACTTGTCTGGACATGTTTGCCAAGGTCAACCCCTCCCCTTTTGTGACATGTCGGTGATGTAGCAATGATGCTGTACGAACTGTATTCTGGGATATGGTGGGAAAGTTTTAAAAGTCTTTGTCACCCCATCCTCGGGGTTCAAATTTGCTCTTTGAACCTATTGTGCAATTAACTTTGGTCTACAGCTATTTGCTCCGGTTGGTGGCTGGAATCCTTCCTTTATTCCGCAGGGACCCATGGGCTCTGCCCGACGAGCTGGGTGACTGAGCAGCCTCACACCTAGATTTTTTCCTTAACAGTGCCCTTGTAGCACACACATGGCTTTCAAACAAACACACAGTTACCCAAACAATCATCACAATCATTTCTTTTTCCCTTGGGCGACTGCAGCACAAGGTGGCTTTCAAACACAAACACACACATACACACACAAACCATTAAACAGTTCTCACCACTTAACAACCTGCAAAAAGCACAGATCAACAGCATTTTTAAACCATTGCTAAAACTTGCAGGAAAAATCCCTGTAAACAGCCTCTCCACAAAAAAATACAAACACAACCCTCCCCCCCCCACACACACACACATTAGGCAGCGGCCTATGTTGTTTTCATCTTGGGATTTTCACAGAGTTCTCCTTTCCTGCAGATTAAGCAGCTACTTCAGGAAAAATCACAGGTTTAATCATTTTGGAGCCACCCCAGTTGTGGATCAGTCTCTGCAGCTGCTTCAAGACAAAACTCCACAATCCAATTTGCTTTCTCACTGGCACACTGGGGATCCTCTAAATCTTTTTCTCTCTTGGTCCGGTCCACTTCATTCCCCGATCCAAACTGCAACAACTGTTTGCTGACCAAGATGGGAATGTTCTGAAATGCCATAGTTACTGACTTTTGAAGATGGAAGCCTGTGCTATAGAGGGTTTTTTTTGCTGGTGTCCAGCAGGGCAATGGGCTTCGCTATGGTGGCCAAATGTCTACTTTCTTAGTAGCATGACAAATAAGTTAGTTTTGCAAACATTCTGTTCTGCTGTAATTAGTTGCTTTTTCTACATAGTCCACACACAATCTAGATGCGTTGCATTTCTCCTTGCCTGCTAAAAACCACTTATTGAGAATGGTTTCAATCCGAGAATAAAGCAGGTTGGTTCTGCATTACCGTGCAGTGCCATATAACCATACAATTGTAAAGTAGGAAATTGTGTCCGTTTGTAGATGGTTCCAGCAATTGTGGAGGGGGGGTGTAACCACACCTGCCTAATTCCGTTGTGGGTGGACTAATAACCAAGATTGCAGTCACCGCTTCCTCCATCATTCACCTGGGCCATGTGCAGGGAGGAAGAGGAGTGGATAATCCTATTACAAGGGGAGGGGTTTATAATGTGTTTCAGCTAATCACACCCCACCCTTGTGCATGGCAGGATCTAGAATCAATTTTGATTGAAAGCATCATGTTGAAGATGAGCATGAACAGTTCCGGATTGAGATGAACTATATTTTTGTGCTCCAAACAGGTTAGTGTGTCCGCAGCCTGACTATGCTATAGTTAATGACAGCCTACCTGGCAATAATCATTTGGCAGTGGGTGACTGAGCAGATCTTACTCTGTGCACAGGAAATACTCATTAGGGACCAGGCTCCTCCTTTTCTGCTGGTTATCTGGGCAGTCCGAGATCTTTCCTCATCCAAACCATCTGCTGCCTGTACCCAGAAGCTGGCTTTGATCACATCCACACTATAAATGTAAAACACTAATACAGTACCACTTGAACAGTCATGGCACTAAAACAAGTGTTTGTCATAAATATTTATCATATTCTGGTTGCCTAGGAAAAAGTACTGGTTGCAGCATTAGAAGTGCTCACGATGACTTGGGCTGACTGCTAGAAGTGTAAGTGGCTTATGTTCATAGATGAGCGACTAAATCTCTGTCACAAACTACTTTTGGGATGAATTCCAGAGAGGCAACTCCATTCGTCAAGGATCCTTGTGGCACCTCAGTGACTAACAGTTTTATTCAATGAATTATTTACTTATGAGGAATATTTATAGCCCGTCCTTTAGCGGATGCCAGGATGGGGTGCAAAATACAGAACGCAGTCACATAAAATAAAAATACAAACCACTGAAAACCAGTTTAAACAATAAGAACACACACACATAATACCATGAAAATGCCTTTTCAAATAAGTAAATCTCTTACTTATGAGAGCCAGTGTGGAGTAGTGGTTGGAGACCAGGGTTTGAATACCCCCCCCCCCCGCCTTGGTCATGAAGGTCACTGGATGACCTTTGGGCCAGTCGCTGCCTCTCAGCCTAACCTGCCTCCCAGGGTTGTTCTGGGGATTAAACGAGGAGGGGGAGAACCAGTGTTCGCCACCTTGAGTTCCTTAGAGAAAAAAGGTGGGATATACAGTGGTACCTTGGGTTAAGTACTTAATTCGTTTTGGAGGTCCGTTCTTAACCTGAAACCAGTGGCGTAGCGTGGGGGGTGCAGGGGGTGCCGGCCGCACCGGGCGCAACATCTGGGGTTAGGGCAAATCCACAGGTTAGGGGGCGCAAATCCATGGGTTAGGGGGCGCATCCATGGGTTAGGGTTACTTGCCTTGCCCCGGGTGCTGACAACCCACGCTACGCCACTGCCTGAAACTGTTCTTAACCTGAAGCACCACTTCAGCTAATGGGGCCTCCTGCTGCTGCCGCGCCACCGGACCACAATTTCTGTTCTCATCCTGAAGCAAAGTTCTTAACCCGAGGCACTATTTCTGGGTTAGCGGAGTCTGTAACCTGAAGTGCATGTAACCTGAAGCGTGTGTAACCCGAGGTACCACTGTACATGCAATAGATAAATGAATAAATAAAACTTGGCACCAAAGTGATGGAAAGTGTCAGCAAAGCACCACAACAGAGAGGGCTCTTTCTTGCTTCATCACATAATGAGACTACCCCACACACAGTGGAATGCAAAGGAGAGCTTTCTCTGCACATCTTACAGCACGAGTAGGATGAAACGGTGAGAGGATCTCCTTACTATGCCACAATCCATCCAGGTTAATCTTTGCAACACCGTAAGGCTGTTTGTTGTTTACATCTTGGGGATGCAGTTCCTCTCCAGTTCTCCACCCCCTTAAGGATTCCGCTGCTGCTTTGACTTCCTTTGAATTCCAAGCAGATAGGTTTGTTTTTATTCTGAACTGGCGGGCCTGTGAGAGCATCATCACAATGATATGCAGAGTGTTACCATGTGGGTTAAAGCAATCACTTTTCCTGGGCCAACATCTCTTGGGAAGAAATACAAAGCAGTTGTGGTAGGCTGGAGCGGCTTAAATTTGTGTTTTCAGTTCATACCACCCATATTAATTAACAGTGTACATATTCCAGTCTAGTGAGGTAGGCAACCAGTTAATAAACCTTCGCCACATGAAAGAAGCATGCACAATAGTGCTGTGACTTTTTAAAAAATATAAAACTGTTGCTGTCTATCTGTTTTGCTCTGATGTGGTGATTCCTTTATATTTTTTAAACACAGTGATTCCCAAACTTTCCCCCCTCATAAAGCACTTTAAAGTTGCTAAACATCTTAAAGGGGGACCCCTGACCATTGGGTCCAGTCGTGACCGACTCTGGGGGTTGCAGCGCTCATCTTGCTTTATTGGCCAAAGGAGCCAGCATACAGCTTCTGGGTCATGTGGCCAGCATGACTAAGCCACTTCTGGCAAACCAGAGCAGCGCACGGAAACACTGTTTACCTTCCCACCAGAGCGGTACCTATTTATCTACTTGCACTTTGACGTGCTTTTGAACTGCTAGGTTGGCAGGAGCAAGGACCGAGCAACTGGAGCTCACCCGGTCGCGGGGATTCGAACCGCCGACCTTCTGATCAGCAAGTCCTAGGCTCTGTGGTTTAACCCACAGCGCTACCCGCGTCTACTAAGCATCTTAGCAGATCACTAAATGACTTCTTGGCCTGTTGTAGCAACTGCTGTACTAGATGGCGCATGATTATTAATTGCATTTTTTTTACAGGTATGCTGTGGTCCAGCTGAATGAAGCTTGTGACCGGGATCTTGACTCCGCTATTAACGGTAGATGAATCTCAAGGGGTGTCCATGTTGTGTTGGTTGAGTTTTAGCTAGTAAAGCTCAAGGATGTGGACAAGCTGTCAGGGCAACTACTTGTATTCTGGACCCTTGCCCCTCTTGGCTGATACAAACTAGCAGAGAGGGGACAGCTGGCTGGGCCAGGGAGGTGATCAATATTGCCTTGCAAGAGGGGGTGGTCCCTGTCCGCTTGAAGGAGCCCGTGGCAAAACCACTCCTCAAGAAACTCTCCCTGGATTTGGAAACTAAATAACTACCAGCCAATCTCCCCTTCCTGGGCAAGGTTCTTGAGCAGGTAGTCGTGGACCAAGTCTAGGCACTCTTGGAGAAAACAGATTTTCTAGATCCATTTCAGTTGGGGTTTGCTCCAGGTTTCGGCACAGAAACTGCTTTGGTCAGCCTGTATGATGAGCTCTTTTGGGAGAGAGACGGGGAAATGTGCCGCTGTTATTTTTTATATATATAATTTTTATTTATACCCTGCCCTTCCCAGTTCAGAAAACTGGGCTCAGGGCGGCTAACAACAAATTTAAAACACTTAATTGATGCAACAAAAAACAGCATAAAATACAGTATAAAACGCGAATAACAATACATTCAGAATTCAAAAATCAATTTAGGGGGGAAATCCATCCAATAAACATTAGATGATCACCAGGGCTAGCTGGCTAAATTAGTCCTATTTGGACCTGCGAGGAGACCAGGGGGGAATTAGCTGTGGGATCCCAGGGTAATCTTCATAAAAAGGGGAGGGGGAGGGAAGGAAGGGGAATAAAAGATCAGGCTAAGTTCAGATTGAAAGCCAGGCGGAATAGCTCTGTCTTACAGGCCCTGCAGAAGGAAGTTAAATCCTGCAGGGCCCTGGTCTCATGGGACAGAGCATTCCACCATTTCTTCCATTTCTTCCATTCCATTTCTTCAACATCTCAGCAGCTTTTGATCTCATCGACCATGGTACCCTCTGGAGCAGCTGTCTGAGTTGGGGGTGAGCTTTGTGGTGGTTCTGGTCCTCCTTGGATGGCCATTCCAAGAGGGTGATGCTTCAGAAGTGCTCTTCGGCCTTGTAGATCCTTCAGTGTGGGGTTCCTCAGCGTTCAGTTTTATCTCCTATACTGTTCAACATCTATATGAAATTGCTGAGTGGGATTATCCAGAGTATGTGGTCAGCAATACGGTGATAACACACAGCTCTACTTCTCCTTTACATCTACAGGTGGGGCAGTACTGGGTTGATGTCTTGCCTGAGTAATGGACTGGATGAGAGCCAACAAGCTGAAGCTCAATCCAGATAAAACTGAGGCACTCTTAGTGGGTGGTTCCCTAGACTGGATGGATGAGAGGTTGCCAGCTCTTGAGGGGGTTACACTCTCTCTGAAGGAGTTGGCCAGGTGGTTTACCAGGACAAGATAGTTTGAGCAGATGACACCGATCCTGGCCTGACAGCACTGGCTGCCAATTAGTTTCCGGGCCCAATTCAAAGTGCTTGTTGTGACCTATAAAGCCTGAAATGGCTCAGGGCTGCAATTCCTTAAGGACCGCCTCTCTCCATATGATCCTTCCTGGACCATGAGATCATCATCTGAGCCCCTTCTGAGAGGTGCAGAGGGTGGCAGCACAAGAATGGGCCTTTTCTGTGGTGGCTCCTCGTTTGTGGAATGCTTTACCAAGGGATGTTTGCCTGGCACCTTCATTATGCATCTTTAGGTGCTGGCAAAAACGTTTCTCTTCAACCAGGCGTTTGGCTTATTAACGTTCTATGGTTTTTTGAAATCTGTTTGTGGGATGGGGGGCATTATTGGTTTGTTTCTGTTCTATTGTGCGTTTTGTGTTCTTATTTTGTATTTTTACGTTTTGAACCGCCCTGTGATCTTCAGGTGAAGGGCAGTACAGTGGTACCTTGGTTTAAGAACAGCTTAGTTTATGAACAACTTGAATTAAGAACACTGGAAACCCGGAAGTAGGTGTTTTGGTTTGTGAACTTTGCCTTGGAATAAGAACATGTTTCGCTTCCTGTTGAGTGTGTTCCATTTGTAAATTAAGTCCCCCACTGCTATGGGAAACCACGCCTTGGTTTAAGAACACTTTGGTTTAAGAAAGGACTTCCAGAACAGATTAAGTTTGTAAACCAAGGTACCACTGTATACACATTTAATAAATAATAACATAAAGTTCTTCCATTGCACTAGATTGACAGAGCACTTCAATCCTTTTTAATTTTGCAAACCTAAATTTCCAATATGTGCTTGATTCTCTCCTGCAAAATAGTGATAGTCTGGAGGCATCCTTAGTTTATATATATTTGTTTGTTGTCTTAAGAGGATTTCTCTCTCTCTGAAAGGCAGGATATCATTTTTGCTACATAAACAAAGCATTGTCGGGACTATGCATGATTAGCATTAATAAGATATTTGTCACACTCCTACTCGGAGCCAAGAACTGACAAAACATTTCCATGACTAGCATTGTCTGCAATCTTTGCAATGCCTTTTCTCCCTGGAAACACTTCCCCTTTCCCTTTGTCACGTGTTTTCATTAGTTTAGTCAAGGTCTGCATTTCATCATTCTGTATCAGAGTTTGTTGCATCTGTTAGCCTTTTGGAACTCCTTGCCTTAGGCAGGTGCCTTTACTCTATAACTTTAGACGACTGCAGAAAACCGTTTTGCTTTCTTCAGCAAGCCTGCCCACACATAAAATTCAGTTACGGTATCTATATTTGTTTTGTTTTATTAGAAGTTCTACTCATTTTATCTGCGTTTTATTAATAGTTTATGTTTATTTGGGTTTGTTTCTTTTAACAGCCATGGATTTTAGCCGTGTTCTGCGAACAATTCCATCATGTACGCTGCTCAGAGAGCTTTGCGATTAAGAAGTCGACAAATATTTCTAATTAAGTGAGTTTTATTTAAGTATTTTATTCCATTCATGAATCGTCAGCTACACTAGTCCCTCATCTGCCGTTTTCGTCAATTATCAGGACTGGAGCTCAAAGCAGGATTTGAACTGACAGGGTCATGAGAAGGTCAAGCAGTGATTTAGCCTGTGCACTAGCGCCACTACTGAGCACCAGCCAAGTCAAGGATGTACTACAAGACAATTAAACACACAACAAAAAACCATTTTTAATTTCACAGGCCAGAGCAGGTCACATGAGAATCCATCAGGAAACCTGCCGTTGAACAAGCCCTATACTCAGTGGTGGCCAAATTCTGTGGCAAGTGTGCCACAACAAGTCAAGCACAAAGCATGAGATTGTGCCACTCAAGGGCACGCTACAGTGTCCAGTCCTCTCTGATGTCCTGTGTACACACTCCTGTTTACTCTTTGTGGAGAGATTAGATGACGCCAGCTATTTCAGAAGCATTTATGCTGACTTGTTTGCGGGGAGGTTAGACGATGTCGCACCAAGCATTGTCTCACACTTTCCAGTGCCATTTTCCAATGACTTTTCTTATCAGAAAAAGTCCAATCTTTTGGAACAGCCCCATTTATCAGCTTTAGTTGTGTAGCCTGAGTTCACCAGGATGTGATTGAATACCACCAAAGAAATAGTGACACTCTGGAAGCTCCCTGAGTGAATCAACTAGCCATTACACTTGAATCTGTTCTGAAAATTCATTTTATGAATAGCAACCTCAGAGGCTGCATTCAGGAGCAGTGAAAATGAAAGGTGAGGGGCTGCTTAACCATTTCCACCATTTGTTCATGCACAATGATTCTTTCCTACACTACTTTTCTCTCAGCAGCTGGGGAGTGGTGGTGGTGGTGGTGAGATAAGGTTTATTCTGTATCTTTAAAATGTGAGGCAGCAGGTTCTGAGTGAAAAAATGCCAGAAAGGAAAATTGCTAAGCAGTCCCTCCAACCTATGCTGCAAACACGAAGGTTGTTATTCAGTTATTTTTTTTAAAAAAAGCAATAAGACTGGAGTTTGATGAATACATCTCCTATGTAATGTCTAGTCTAGTAGGGGAAAATATTTCTGGGTGCTTGAATTCCTTTGATCAGGGAAGCTTTCCTATAAATTACATCAAGCAAACACATCAGTGAACATCAGCACTTCCTGACCCTCTCAAGTGTCCCTATTTTCCAGGGATTTCCCTGATTTAGAGAAGCTTGTCCCGGTTTCTAGTTTGATGCCAGAATGTCCTGCTTTTCCTTAGGACATTCCTATTTTCATCAGAGAAACCCTTGAGGGTATGCACTTCCTTATTGTGAAGTCCTATGAACAGCAGGTGGCCCTGGTTATATAATATATGCAGGTGAAACAGACTGAATCACCTGCATAAAATACACTCCACACACATCCTCATCTCTGACTGGGCACACCTCAGTCACTGCACTTGCAACACACTCTAATCTCCTGAGTGGAGCACACACAGCTTATTCGTAAAGCAGAGATAAGGAACTGGGTCCAGCGACATATCGCCCAACAGCTGTGGGTCAATTTGGCAGGAGGTGGGGCTCCCTACCTGTCAGTCACTGGATGTTGCCCTGGTGTTTTCCTTTGCAGACCGGCTTGAAAAACCCTTCCTTTGCCCTTGGTGTTTGAAATCAACATGTGCAGCTGGTAGGCGGCAGGTGCTGCAAACCTCATGGTTTGTTTTCAAACTTCAAGAGCAAAGGAAGTGTTTCCCTTTACATTTCTCTTGCCCATTCTTCAGAACCAGATGATTCCAGCAGAGCTAGCTCCTTTGCAGTTGTGTCTTCACCTGCCCTACACCTGGTGTCACACATACCTGGTAATGGCAGGTATGTGGGCAGGCTGGCACGGTTTGGGGAGAACTGCCTTGTGAGCCTAATTAGGAGACCTGCTGGACTTAATTTGCCTTGGGGGGCTGGATGCTCCCCACCACTGTCGTAAAACCTGTGTTTTGAACTCAGACGTTTCAATTCCTGACAACTCCACCTGATAGATCTCTGTAACAAGGGTTGGAAAGTCTACCTGGGACAGTCATGCCAATCAGAGCACACAATACTATGCTCAGTGGCGTAGCGTGGGGGTGCAGGGGGGGGCGGCCGCACCGGGCGCAACATCTGGGGGTTAGGGTTAGGGGGCGCAAATCCACGGGTTAGGGGGCGCAGATTACTTGCCTTGCCCCGGGTGCTGACAACCCACGCTACGCCACTGACTATGCTAGACAGAACAGTGGCCTGATTGGTGTAATGACAGCCCCCCTCCCAAGCAAGCAGCCTTATTTTTCCAGAGTTGGTGTGCTAAGAGGGCCTTGCACCCCCACCCCCACCCCGCAAACAAGAAAGAGAGTTTTTTAAGGTTTCTGCTTTGTTTTTAAGGTTCGGGAATGCTCCCACGAGATCTTGCAGGGTCATGCAAGTTCCTGCAAGAGCATCCCAGAGTCTGGCAAGCAAGGCAAAGAGCTTAAAAGCTCCTTCCGCACTGGGAAAACCCTGTGCCAAAAGAGCTTTTAAGCTCCCCACCTTCCAGCATTTAAATTGTTTGATTTCAACCCACCAGCCTCCAACTAGGTAATTTGAAAATGCACAAGTTAAATGCGGTTGTACAGTGGTACCTCAGGTTACATACGCTTCAGGTTACATACGCTTCAGGTTACAGACTCCTCTAACCCAGAAATAGTACCTCAGGTTAAGAACTTTGCTTCAGGATGAGAACAAAAATTGTGCAGCAGCAGCAGGAGGCCCCATTAGCTAAAGTGGTGCTTCAGGTTAAGAACAGTTTCAGGTTAAGAACGGACCTCCGGAATGAATTAAGTACTTAACCCGAGGTACCACTGTACTGGATTGTTAATTTGCAAGTAAGCAAGCCATGCTAGTATCCATCAGGATCAGTTCTCCCAGTCACCTGTAAAGCATTCTCCTTTGCTGGCCAAACAGTCAAAGCTAGAGTGGACAGATGCCAAAAACTGGAACAGGGCTCCTGCACCTTTAATAGTGATATGGATGGGGCTCCTGCACCTTTAATTGTCGCATAGAAGAGATAATTTCATCCAGTGCACTCGTCATGCACTATATACCTGCTGGAACTCTCTCTTCTACATGACTACTGAACATGCCCTCTTTTCTTTGTCACCTGGCCACCCTATTCAAAACCTCCTTAAGCGCTCCCCTACTTCTCCAGCCAGACGAGGCTCTCTCATTCATTGTAGCAGTCGCTACTGTAGATTTCTAAATGAATCAAATATTACAAAAACAGCATCCATCTCCACTTGTCTCTCCTCCATAGGAAGCCAAACCCAAGTAGTGTTTTCTCAGAAGATCTCACATCTCAGGAAAGTGGGGAGAGCATGTAACAGTATTCAAATCCGACTGGGCCAAATCTGCAAGCAATTGCGATGCAGTGACAAGCCTCAGGAAAGGTAATTTGCTTAAAGACAATGGATGATTCTAAGATTATAAGAACTGTTTGGAATTTTATTAGCATGATTTATGTTTCCATTGAAGGATGCATCAAGTGGGTGTGTCTGATGTTTGAACTCCTAAGTCAATTTTAAAAGATGAATTGCAGACTTGCCCTAAAGGAAACAATCTAATGAGCTGTGTTTTACTTAATTGGATTTACAGTACAGTCTTCCATGTGTGTACTCAGAAGCAAGCACCATTGAGTTCAATGGAGCTTATATCCAGGTTTCCGCAAGACGAATTTCCCTATGGGCTTGCTTCGCAAGACGAAATGTCTTGCGAGTTCTTGCGAATTTGTTTCCTTTTTCTTAAAGCCGCTAAGCCGTTAATAGCCGCTAAGCCGCTAAGCCTTAATAGCTGCTAAGCCGCTAATAGCCGCTAAGCTGCTAAGCCGCTAATAGCCGTGCTTCGCAAGACGAAAAAACCGCAAGACGAAGAGACTCGCGGAACGGATTAATTTCGTCTTGCGAGGCACCACTGTATATATCTTTAGGATTACACCCTAATTCATATTAACTGAGGCAGTGATGAGGGACCTGTGTATACCCCACAAGTGTCCTGGAAGGAAGGGGCATCCTATTTTATCATGAGAGAATGGTGGCTGTTTTGCTTGCTGTGACCTCGCTCAATTTCCGCCCGGAAAAAAGTGAAATTGCATGAGATCACAGCACCCCAAACTGTTGCGATAAAAAAGTTAAATCTGGCGTCCTGGATTTTGGCTTCAAAGTGTTGGAGGGTATGCCTGTGAACATCAGATACTTTTGGACCCAACTCCCACCAATCCCAGACAGCATGGCTAACAGCCAGGGAAGGTGGGAGTGGCTGTCCCCCAATATCTGGAAGGCCACAGGTTTCCCCATCCCTGAGTTAAGAGGCAGCCAAATCTCAAGAGTACAAAGGCCTGGAAGCTCTGTAATACTACATCCAGAATCAGAGGCAGCATGAGTCTGAATACTGGTAGCTGAAGCTCACAAATAGGGGAGTGCTATGGTACATCACACTGGTAAAATTGGGGAAAATGTATAAAACTGGAAACAAAGCATGCTGGAAATGTAAGCAGAAGGGTGGGGACCTTTACCATATGTGGTGGGTTTGTGAGGAAATGAAAAAAAATTGGGAGCTTATATATAACGAATTAAAGAAAATTTTCAGATATACTTTTTCAAAAAAACTGGAAGCATTTTTGTTAGGAATAATAGGTGACGAAATTAAAAAGGAAGATCAGAGATTGTTTCAATATGCAACGGTGGCGGCCAGGGTATTGATAGCTCAAAAATGGAAATCAGCAGAGATCCCTACGGTTATGGATTGGCAAGTAAAATTATTTGAATACGCAGAATTAGCAAGAATGACACATAAAATTAGACACCAAGAAGGTACAAAGTTTATTGAAGAATGGAGTGAATTTGTGACATATATTGAAAGTAATTGTAGAAATTTAAAAACTACAGTAGGTTTAACATAAACCTTGTGATGTGTACATAATTGGAACAGAAACTGTAAGAGTAGAAGTATACCAAGAAAACCGCAACGGGATAGGAAGGAAGTCGAGGCGTGATCTAACGCAATGTAAATAAGATGATGGTACCAAAGAATGATTGTTAAGAGTGTTTGTTTTAGTTTCTGACTGTTTGTTTTGGTTTGTTTTCTGTTTAACTGAAAATCTCAATAAACATAATTTTAAAAATAAAAAAAAACAAATAGGGGAGTGCTATTGCTGTTGTGTCTCACTCCCCTCTAATTGTCTCTTGAGCCCACAGACTGCAGCAAACAGAGGCAAGGATGTTGTGTGGCTCGGCACAGGTTATTCCCCAACTAACCCAGCAAGGAAATCGTTTTTCTGGGAACCTTAAGTCACACACCACACAAGTCCCTCCAAGCTAGCCGCTGATGTTCTTCCTTGCTTCAGCCTGAAAGCACACCCGTTCCGGTGCAGGAACCCAAGGCTCTTTCTCAACCACCCAGTGACTCCCCAAGCCAACGTTATCCTGGTGTCTAAGAAATGGGCAGGTAGGAAGAGTATGCAAGAGGAAGGGAGAAGGTGACAAAGAGAGATTATGGGCACAGTAATTACACATAATAGCATTCCACACATTTAGCATCAGGAAAATAAAGTAATTTTAAGAGATTAATTCCTGAATGATGCCTGAGCATCCTTTTAGGAGCATCCTATCATCCTCGCTGCAGTGTTAACTGCTTCATTGCCCAGAGGACTGGCACATTTTGATTTTAAAGGAAATTAAGCTAGTCAGATGCAAGGCCTAAAAAGACAAAGTGGCCCCGTGCTTATTTAGTAGATGCCAAATGCTCACTTGTAATGTGGCTGTATGCAACATATCTTCTTCTCCTCCTTCTCCTTCTTTCTTCTTCTTTTTCTATTTATATATCCAACAATCCCAGGGCGGTGTACAACATTTTAAAATCTGGGCATTTCAGCTAGAGTAGTCAAACAAACAGAAAGATGTATTTGGATGCAGTTTCTGTCTCAGCGCTGCCACTGGCTCAAAATCTATGTGGCCTTGGTCAAGACATTCTGTAATAGTTCCCTGTCTGTAAAATAAGGGTATCAGGCTTTCTCTACACACACAGCAGAACCAGTGAAGGCCGTGAATGTCCTGTGTGAGTGCCTGGCGGCTAACAGATTGAGGTTGAATCCTGACAAGACAGAAGTACTGTTTGGGGGGGACAGGGGGTGATTGGGTGTGGGGGACTCCCTGGTTCTGAATGGGGCAACTGTGCCCCTGAAGGACCAGGTGCGCAGCCTATGAGCCATTTTGGACTCACAGCTGTCCATGGAGGCGCAGGTCAATTCTGTGTCCAGGGCAGCTGTCTACCAGCTCCATCTGGTATGCAGGCTGTGATCCTACCTGCCCAAGGACTGTCTCGCCAGAGTGGTGCATGCTCTAGTACTGCAATGCGCTCTACGTGGGGCTACCTTTGAAGGTACCCGGAAACTGCAATTAATCCAGAATGCGGCAGCTAGACTGGTGACTGGGAGTGGCCGCCGGGACCATACAGTAGAACACCGGTCCTGAGAGATATGTATTGGCTCCCAGTATGTTTCCGAGCACAATTCAAAGTGTTGGTGCTGACCTTTAAAGCCCTAAACAGCCTCGGTCCAGTATACCTGAAGGAACGTCTCCACCTCCACCGTTCTTCCCGGACACTGAAATCCAGCTCCGAGGGCCTTCTGGCGGTTCCCTCATTGCGAGAAGTGAGGTTACAGGGAACCAGACAGAGGTTTGAAATGCTGTCCAGTTGTTTACAAACATATGGAGGAAACCTGCTCCTTGATCTCAGGAACCATCATGCAATATTTGTTTAAGATCAATGCAGTTTTGAGAGATTCAGTTTGCTATATTGATAAATTGTGTCCAAACACAGATGAAAACTAGCTCCTTAGTCGAGCGCAAAATTTAGTTACGATATCTTAACAGGTGTTTAAATTCATAGTAAGTGTTAACTGTCAAAGTTATCCAGAACTCTTAACCAGGCCACATGGTAAGCAAAACAGGGGCAGGAAGGAGTAAGAAAAAACGTTGATTATTGTTGGAGCCATTTTATTTATTTGCTTATTTATATCCCACCATTGACACACAGAGCCAGCATTTTGTCACAGTCTCTGTTCGGTGCTTTGCAGATTTCTAGTTGTGTCTATGAGAGTTCTGCACACTATTTCATAACGTTTTGTTTGGGCTAATAAAAGTCCCCCCCTAAAGCAGATTTTGGAATTTTCCAAATGATAACACCTTCAGGAGTGAGGAAGCTGTCGTTTTTCCAGATGCTGTTGGACTACAACTCATCCCCGACTACTGGCACTGCTGACTGGGGCTGACAGGAGCTGGGAAGTGACAAGTTCCCCATCCATGACTAGACAAACTGTAAGTGGGTTTTGCAATCTCTGAATGGGACAAAGCAACAACCCTGCAAGTTCTGGTTGAACTCTTCCACCCACTTTGACTGTTGTGTATCTCCACCCAAGGCAGTAAGTTTGTGTACCCACTTCCCTCTATGGCTTAATAGTTAAGACACATTTAAAAAACTTATTTGTTACATGAAGAGGTGTTAAAGCGACAATGCAAGGAATGGATGCCAAACGGTTTAAGAACAGTTCTGTTTAAGAACGATTCGGTTTACAAACTCCGCAAAACCGAAAATAGTGTGCCAGTTTGAAAACTTTACCTCGGTCTAAGAATGGAATCTGAACGGTGGCAGGGCACCGGCGGTGAGAGGCCTCATTAGAGAAAGCGCACCTCAGTTTAAGAACAGTTTCAGTTTAAGAATGGACTTCCGGAACGGATTAAGTTCATAAACCAAGGTACCACTGTACTAAAAATCAGTTAAATAATGGATTAAAGGTAAATGGACCCCTGACCATTAGGTCCAGTTGTGGCCGACTCTGGGGTTGCGGCGCTCATCTCACTTTATTGGCCGAGGGAGCAGGCGTACAGCTTCCGGGTCATGTGGCCAGCATGACTAAGCCGCTTCTGGCGAACCAGAGCAGCGCACAGAAACACCGTTTACCTTCCTGCCAGAGCGGTACCTATTTATCTACTTGCACTTTGGTGTGCTTTTGAACTGCTAGGTGGGCAGGAGCAGGGACCAAGCAACGGGAGCTCACCCCCTCGCGGGGATTCGAACTGCCGACCTTCTGATCAGCAAGTCCTAGGCTCAACAGTTTACACCACAGCGCCACCCACATCCCAAATAATGGATTACCTGACCCCAATTGTCATTTTTCACATTCAGAACCGGTTCATGACATTTCACTCTGATTCCAGTTTCTGTTTGAAAAGATTGTTCTGGAGATTTCTTGTGCCATAACTAAAAAGTATTTATCTGTTTGTTTTTGTTTGTTTGTTTGCTTGCTTGCTTGCTTGCTTGCATTTCTAGGTGGTTTTTAACAAAGTTCCCAGGGTGACTAACATGAACAGAATATAAAATCAATACA